TATGCCACAGGCCTATAGATCCTGCATGGGGTGTGAGTATCTGTTCCACAGCCTGTTGAGCATTTGTGGCCCAGCCGTGGGAGTAAGACTCATGAACCAATGTTATGTTACTGTGCTACAAGCATTTTGAGATGGTCTGGCTTGAGCTCCTGCCATACTGGAAGGCTTAAGTAATCAAGCATCCAGAATACCCTGTCCTGAAAATCCGAGTGATATTTAGTATGCCAAAGGATCACTTTGCATTGGGCAGCTTGTGTTGCTCCCTTATGCTGTAATTTAATCAGCCTTTAGAAATTCCTAACAAAATCCAGTGCCTTTGGTTTCAAGGTCAAAGCAATCTGGAACTGAGACATGGAGTGATAAAGACAGGAAACAATTCCAGAGCTTTTTTTTCCAAATGTATGACCCATGCCTGTCAGGAGAGAGAGAGAAGGAAACTACTCCATATTTTCTGATAAGATATGTGAATTAGAGTATATGTTGGAAAAAAAGGTGAAACAGAGTTAGTCATTTTTCTGGATAAGAGGATTTTTCTTGTTAGAGGGTTTTTAACCCAGTGCTTTTGATTGCTGCTTTTGGGAGCTAGATGAAAAATTTTCCTGCTGTATCCCATACAGGAACTATGGGAAGACGTTCAAGCCAGCAACTCAGAAAAAGCTCATTAGTTTGTGGTTTTTTTTTCCCCTCATTATCAAGAAATCTTTGTAACTGGTCATAAGATTCTCATGGATAAAAATTCACCCCCTTTCATCCCTGTACCACCTATTTAAATCACAAGTTCTGCCCCATTTCTTGAGAATGTCAGAACGCAGTCATATGATGATCAACTGATCTGCATTTCTGACAAGCAGGGCTTTTCTGAACAGTGTGGGTAATTTGTTTTCTCTTTGTAACTGGAAGTGTATACAAACTTCACAGCAGTATCAGGTAAGGAAATGTTTTTACTTGTATATTTTTTGTTTTCCTTGCAGCTGTAATTGTTTAGGCAGCTTTATTTTAAACAAACTTGGAAGGGAAAAAACCTCTTGAGGCGTTGGGGTTGGGTGTAGTAGGAGGCAGTAAGTGGAGGCACAGTGTAAGAGGCAGGGAAAAGGCATGTGAAGGGAAGTGCAGCTTTACTGCTTACATTATTACACACACGTCAGTTTAGTAGCAGGAAATGTCATTTTGTGTGCTGCTCTGGGTGTAACCTCACGTTGGCTTTCTGGTAGTCTGCAGTAACATGAGATTGTGGTGTGGGAAAATACCAAAGTCAGGTTTCAGGGTAGAACCTGGGCTGACAGCAAAGGCCTGCTTGGTGAAAGGGCCTCTTATTACTTGGTGGGTGCAATCTCTAAGCCAGCTTAGTCTAACTATATAAGGCTACATAAACCCACAGCCCTCAGCCAGCGTGGAGCTGGAGCAGCCTGCCAGTAACACACAATCCACCTTGTAGCATCACTGGTGTTCAGCAGAGGTGATCACATCAGAAGGCTCTTGCCCCTATCAGGGGCTGTGTCAGAATCTCTCACTCCTATCAGGGCAAGTTCCTGATAATGATAGTTCCAAAAATTCATTGTACTTTATCTTTCTTAGCTGAAAAGGTGTGCTGCTCTCTGTTTCCTCTTTTAGCCTCTCTGTCCAAAGGAGCTCTGGCACTTTGTCCACCAGTGTTATGGGAATGAGCTGGGTCTGACGAGCGACGACGAAGACTACGTGCCTCCTGATGATGACTTCAACACAATGGGGTGAGTGAGGAGAGGCAGAATCTGCCCGTGGTGGAGAAAAGATGGCCTCAGCAGAGCAGGAGTCCCACTATATTGCATACCTCTAGCTGCTGATTGGTGAGAGATTCTGGGTTCTGGCTGTTTCCCCTTCAGTGTGTCATGCCTGAAAAGCCGAAAGCGTACCGTTCCCCCGTGGGAGTGGGTAGGGGCTGGAATGCCTGCCTCCCTGCTTGCTGAGCTAGCTGAGCCATTCTGTAAATGCCCAAACATTCCAACCACAAGGTCAGTCAGCATGTTAAGTGGTCAGAAAGTGCTGATGCTTATCAGTCTGCCTCTAAACACTTGAAAAGTTTGGGCTTGATCTTCCCTTCACTGAGCCATTTCTGCTCCTGGTCAGACTGGAAACTTCATAGAAGTGTTCTTACTTGCTCTGTGTGTCCAGTTGTAGCTGTACTGAGAGGGGTAAACATAAAAACCTGTGTTCTCTGTGGCGTCTCAGCTACTGTGAAGAAATCCCCGTGGAAGAGAATGAAGTCAATGACAGCTCCTCCAAAAGCAGCATGGAGGCCAAGCCAGAAGCTAGCCCTCAGCTGCCGAAGAAGTCTGTCACTGCCAGCACACTGACATCTACGGGAAGCAGCGAAGCCCCGGCCTCCGTAAGTGTCCCTCCTGCCCCGCAGTGGGAGCAGTGGTCCTTTTCTCAGGGATCCAGCTGGTGGTCCCTGCATCTACGAGGTAACTGTCAGCCCTGCAGCTCCTCTCCCAGTGCAGCTGACCTCAGTCCTCGAGCCAGGGCTGTCTGTGAGCGTGGCATTTGGCTGAGGAAAGTGAGCAAAGCGTGCCTGTCCTAAAGGACAGTGACATGGGACTCTGGGCAGCAAGCGCATTTTCCTCTCCAGACTTTTAGATGAAAAGAAATGGAGTATTGGAGATAAATGGGTTATAATTTCTCCTCTGCCTTCAGTTATTCCGTAGAAAACAGTGTGTGCCCTCATAGTATTCAGTCAGAGCAGGTCTGGTTTAGATATGGCTTCAGCCTAGCTGTGCAAGGCTGGTCTGGGAGCAAAACCAGTTTGTTGTGTGCTTGTCAGAACACAAACCCTGTGTATGTACCAGGCTCCAGCTGTATGTGGTTCTTTGAGAGGAGGAGATCTGGTATGTCCATGTGTTTCACAAACACCATATGGTAACTGTCCTCCTCCATTATTTAATTTCCAGACATGTCGAGGCCAAATGTTTCAAGGTATCAAAGTTGGCCCATAGCTGTAAAGTTTTGGGAAGTAACCCTGATTTCCAGATGCTGATCTTGCCCTCGTTATGCTCTTGTTGCTACAGTTTGATGGAGTGCTACCAGAAGAGGAGGAGGCAGTGGCAGAGAGTCCCGTGGAAAAAGACCTTGGCATTGCAAATATCATGGGGGAGAAGATAGAGATCATCGGCCCTGTGAACTCCCCCTCCCTAGACTTCAATGACAATGAAGACATTCCCACTGAGCTCAGTGACTCGTCAGAGACCCATGATGAAGGTGTGTGGGTGGGGAGGGGCCGTTCCACAGGTGTCCTTTGCAGCTGTGTCTCATCCTTCCCAGTGAGGGACTGGAGCAGCAAACTCCCAACTCCTTTTCTGCACCCTAGGAGTTCAGAAGGTGCAAAGAGTTCTGGGGTGCAGAAGGTGAATGCCTGGGGCATTTGGAAGGATGTCCCTAAAGTAACCTATGCAGCTAATTACTCCTTCTGACATTCCATCTGTTGTCCTTGGATCAGTGGAGGAATAAGGTTAGAAGGAAAGGGTCCCTTTGGGTTCCCTCAGCAAGTAAAATACTAAGGTGCTGCTGCTAGGAAAGCACAGCCTCTGGTACCATCACGGGGGTCACATCTGGGCCTCTGGGCCTGTCTGCCCACAGGGGAAGTCCAGGCCTTCTACGAGGATCTGAACGGGCGGCAGTACGTGAATGAGGTGTTCAACTTCAGCGTGGACAAGCTGTACGACCTGCTCTTCACAGACTCCCAGTTCCAGAGGGACTTCATGGAGCAGCGCCGCTTCTCTGGTAGGCTGCTGGTGGCAGCACGGGTCCCTGGGGGAGCCCACGGGCCCTGGCTTGGCACACGCCTGGTAGCTTGGCCTGGTGATGGAGGGGTTGAGTAATATTCTGTGAATATTAATATTCAGTTAATTGGGGCAGATGTAGTCTGTACTGACAGTAATCCAAAGCAGGTAGTACTAGCCTTGCTTGGCTAGCTAGTTTGACTTTCTAAGAGCCAGGTCTAAGTCTCTGGAAGAAGCAGACTCTTTTATTTTTTCCCAATAGCTATGGCCTGATCCTGTGTTCAAAGCTTGACAGCCTGAGGAAAAAAGCTCTTCTAGTTCCACACCAGACAGTGACCCAGACTGTGCAATTGATGATGCAAAGAGAGTTTCCCTTGGCATGCATTAGTCCTCTTTTGCCTGTAGCTGTGAGTTTGCTGAAGGAGACACGTCCTCAGCCTGTCCTCCTTTCCCTGCACTTGAAAAAGGGGAAAAATATTCACTGGTAGGGGAGGAGACTTTTCTTTCACACTCAGTTGAGCTCTAGTGCTTCTGCAGCCAAGGTCTCTGAGGAGAAGGAAATACTGTCCTGAGCTTGGTTATATGCTTATGCCTTTCCCTAGGGAGCTGACCAGAGATTCCTCTCTGGTTAACTTGAATATTGTTTTGTCTTCTCAGATATTATCTTTAATCCCTGGAAGAAGGAAGAAAATGGCAATCAGACCAGAGTGATCTTGTATACCATAACCCTCACCAACCCTCTGGCCCCCAAAACTGCCACAGTCACTGAGACACAGGTATGTGAAGGGGGAACCAGGGGTGTGATGCTTCATAGAAACAGATCTGTGATTTATTTTCTTTTCCTGGGCATGCTGCTTTGCATGTTTTTGTTCTCCCTACCCATTTTCCTTTACATGTTTTTCTTCTGTTAACTTGCTGCCCAGCATCACTGCAAATGTGAGTAGCTAATCTTATACTTCCACTGGATTGCACTGCAAGGAAAGGACCATGAATTTTCCTGCAGAAGCAGATGAGTTTGTAAAGAAGCCAGCACTATCTGACAACTGTGTGTGTCACCTGTAGTGGCGTTTTTTTGAGCTGCAGTCAGTCCAGCAGATATTATTCATGAGCAGGGCACACGAAAGTCAGGTCCAGTCTGGGCAGTCCTCCTCACATCTCTGCGTAGAGATCTGCAGGCTTTTGTAGTACTGGCAAGGACAATTAGGTGACATGTTTAACAAGGTAAAGAAGGGTGGTGCAGTGCACTGGCAAGAGCCAGGCCAGCTGTATCTAGTAGGGGCTGTGGCTAGAGAGGGGGGAAAAGCTTCTGTCTGTGTCCAGAGATATGCTCAAGTGGCCAAAGGTAAATACTCAGACTTGGCTTGAGGGAATACCCAGAGGTGTGTCTGAGCATCACATTTCAGAGAGAGGAGAATCCCAGCAGCAAGGTGTGCCTTGTCAGGATGGGATGAAGGGTGCTCTTCAGAACCAAGGTGTGTGCAGGGACAAGAAAGGAAAGGGGAGAGCCAGGTGATGGGCAAAGGCAGCAGTACACTGCCAGGCAAGCAGGGACGTGGCCTGGTTGATAGGGAGCTAGGGGTCAACCTCTGGGCACGCTTTGCTGTGTCCTCACTGCAGAGGTGAGGGGGAACAGGCTGTAGGAGAAGCTATTCTTTTGTATATGGATCTGCAGCTAACTGGTCTGTCCCCTTTGTGAGGTTTGTTCTGAGGCAATGAAAGAAGCAGATCAGAAACTCTTAAAAGGAGTAACTGACATGCTTTTTTGGTGTTCAGAATTGCAGAATAAGTTATTCTAGAGAGGACCTGTGCTCAGAGCAGGGCCATCTCTGGTTTTAGATCAGCTTGCTCTCTGACTAGCCAGACATGAGTTTAACAAACAAAGGTCCCAAAGAACTGGTCCTCACGTGGCAGTGTACTTAACTATGTCTCTGATGCAAAATGCTGGAGATTGAGCTGCTGGAGCTGAATGCCCCTTTTGAAATATGCCCTTGGGAAACCTCTGAGCAAAACGCTTGGCTTCTTTGAGTATGCCTTCCCTCAAAGGTGAGCTCTTCATGGAAAAATTGCAGAGATGGGTCCTGGGCGTGGGTGTGGTCTTCTGCTCGTGGCAGAGCTGTTGTGTGTGAAGTGCTGGTGAAGGTGCTGATCTATCGAAGCGGTGTTCTAACCAGACTAATAGTTGCCTTGCATGCTGTCTTTTATGCAGACAATGTACAAAGCCAGCCAAGAAAGCGAGTGCTATGTCATAGATGCAGAGGTGCTAACTCACGACGTCCCCTACCATGATTATTTCTACACCATTAACCGCTACACGTTGACTCGTGTTGCCAGAAACAAAAGCCGACTCAGGTACTCTTCCTGTGGGTTAAAGAGCTTTACTGAGGAGCAGAAGTCACCTCTGGGTGGGAGTTCTGCTGTGTGTGCATCAGAATGGGCTGGGGAGAACGTGGCCTTATTTCTTTGTCCTGTTGCTGTAACTCCCTTACCACAGAGTTACCATGGGGGCACTGTGGGGACCTAAAGAGAACAATAGACCCGATGCACAGGACTTGCAGCTGGGTCAGAGAGACAATTTACAGACTTCTTGCCCCCTTCTTGGAAGCAGAGGCTTGCAGGGCCAGTTGTCACACACAGTCAACTACATGTGATAAGCAGCAGGGCATACATCCAGGGACTGTGTCTCTGAAACGTGCAGAAGAATTTGGTGCTGGGCAAAGCTATAGGCTTTTGGGTTTGACCTGGATATGTAGTCTAAACGTCTACATGGCTGAAGGTCTTGGGAGTCCTCTGCAGGGAGGCTCTCTTTAGACCTTCCTGCTAACTGCCTTTGGAAGGACATTTCATTCAGTGCTTCTCCTTGAGAAACACAAAGCCCTGAGACCATTCCAGAAATAGCAATTTCATGATTATTTCCCATGTTTACATTGACAAAGGATTGTGAATTATGTTGCCCCCAGGAAGGAAACTCAGGAGAATGACTTGCCCTTCTTCACACAGGGTTTCCACGGAGTTACGTTACAGGAAACAGCCTTGGGGGCTGGTGAAATCCTTCATTGAGAAGAATTTTTGGAGCGGCCTAGAAGATTATTTCCGTCATCTGGGTAAGAGTGGCAAAGACTGGACCTTTGTTAATGACCCACAAACAGCAGCACCTTCCACAGTTCCTGCAGGCCTCCCTGCAGGCAGGCAGTGTGACAGCGGGATACCTGCTGCCAGCCTACTGAGGTCACATCTGGAGTGGCTTATGGAAGGGGCCAGCCACAGTTACTGCCACAGCGGTGGTAGCACTTGCTGGCATTAATCAGGCCACCAAATCCCACCCTCTGGCAGGAGCTCAGGCAGTCTTCGGGCAGGGTTGGGCAGAAGGTGTAAGGAATGTGTAGGGTGTCCTCTGGCGTGGGCCTCCTAGAGCGTCCTGACTTTTTTGGCCCAGCAGCTGTGCCATTAGAGGGCCTAAGTGTGTATCTCTGGAAGGCCAGTGCCACTGCTGTTAAGTGCTCCTCCTTGCTGTCTCTGCAGAGAGTGAACTGACCAAAACAGAGAGCACGTACCTGGCCGAGGTCCACAGACAATCCCCCAAAGAGAAAGTGAGCAAGCAATCGACCGTGCGCCGGAGGAAACGGGCCCACGGGCACCTGCGGGTGCCTCACCTGGAGGAGGTGCTGAGCCCTGTCACCACCCCCACGGACGAGGAGGTCGCACACCGAATCAAGCACGTGGCAGGTGGGGAGCCCCAGAGCCCTCACACGTGGGGACGGGCACCTCTGGAGAAAAACCAGAGCGTTGCTCACAGGGGTTAGTGGGCAGAGGGGCCAGGAGGGGCCAGGGCTTCCCAGGGCAGGGAGGGGAGGCTGTACTCTGAGTGTCTGAGGGAGAAGGAGGGGTGGGTACAGGGAAAAGGGTCACCCCCATGGGACAGCACTGGCTAGCCTGAAGGCATCTGTCTCCTCAGGTTCCACTCAGACACGGCACATCCCCGAGGAGAGCCCCAGCGGCTTCCACCTGCAGAGTGTCTCCAAGCTGCTCCTTGTCATCAGTTTTGTGTAAGTGATTTATTTTTTTTGCTTTCTTTCACAGTCAGCCTTTAACCACTTTGGTCCTTTCCTGTTTTTGGTGTTCTGTGTTCCCCTGTGATGGTTCTTCCTCTCTCATATTCCTCTCTGGTCCCAAACTTTGTGCAGCACAGAGGAGAGAAAAGCAATGGTGGGCCGTTTTGACCCCAGTTTTCACCTTGTAACCAAACATGGTCTTTGCAGACCTGCATATATCTGGGAGTCCTAAATGCAGATCAGCTATACTGTCTGGGACAGAGGCAGCATTGATAGTGACAAGCAGGGCAAGGGGCAGCTGTGCAGGGAGAGAGGAGGCAGAGGAGAAGAAATGCAACCAGTGGAAAGTCTTTTTTATTGCAGGGACACAGTTTAGAGGTTTTCAAAGACGTGTTGAAACTGTGTGGGTTTGTTTTTTTTGTTTTTTTTTATTTAACATAAGCCATTTAATGTAATCTGCTAACACACTAGCTGTTACTGTGAAGGATGACCATGCAAAGCTCTCTGGGAGTCACTGTGCTATCACAGCAGGGCCCAGTGTGTGTGGGGAGTCTGTCTGACTTCTTTCCTCTGCTCTGGCAAAACCTATTTGGCTGTGTTCCTGGGTGGTGATTTTGACAAGTGTTATCACTATCTTAGAAAGATGCTGGATCGTCTAGAGGTGGTTTCTGAAAAAAAAAGAAAAAAAAAAAGGTAGAAACACATTAAGAGAGATTGGCATGATTTCACTAGTTTAGCCTACATTTGGTTTGTGTTCCTCCTCTGCCACCACCTTTGAGAGTTGCTAGTCCTGGTTTTGGCTGGATGTGTTCTCCAAATGAGCTGGGTATGTTCCCCTCGTGTCCCCATGGCTCAGTCTTTGTGCCTAAACTCAGGTGTTCACTGTTCCTCTGCCTCTTGGGCTGATGGTGGCTTTCATGTGTTTGTTAGAGCCACAGCGGTTGCTGGGCAGGTGCTGGGCAGCAGTACAGTCTCCAGGAGCAGTCCAGATACAGAGGGTGCTTCCATCACTTTAGGGAAATGGAAGCATGTTGTTGACCCCAGAGGAACAGCAGAACTTGAGCTCCTTCCTTTCTTAAGCTCCACCCACCTCTTAGTGAGGTGGGAAGGAGCTGAGATTGTAGACTGGGGTGATGTTTCAAATTGAGCTCCTTTCTGCATTTCCTTTTCCTGGTGGGGATGAAGAGTGCCAGGGTTTGCAGCAGAAACCCAGCTAGCTGCTGTGACGAGCAGCAAGGTAAAGGAAGATAATGCTGAGGAGACAGCCTCATGTGCTACCTTCTGTGTCTAGATGGGCAGGATGCAATTAAAAGTTTGGGTAGGAGGGCACGAAAGCTTTATGGCAATGTCTTGTGACAGGCTGCTAGCTTAGTTGAGAGTGGTCAGAGCCCTCCCTCATCTTTTGAGAACACTCTTCTGGCCAGCTGGTGCCCGCCTGACCACACCGGGGTTAGTGGGCCGTTCTTCCAGCCAAGTAGCCACGCTTTTCAGAGGCAGGCACGAGCCTGTCGTTTTGAACTGTGTTTGGTGGGCAGGAGGAGGGGTACAGCACGGTGCCTGGCCAGAGCACCAGCCTGGGGGCTGTCCCCGTGGCCACCAGGCAGCAGGTAAGGCTGGATGCGTGCGGGCTGCGACGTGCCTTTGTGTGTCAGACGGTGCCCCGCGTCGCTGGGTTTGGGCTTGTCCACCAGCCACACACAGCTCAGCACTTGCTGAGCAAATGTCTGTTAACTGCACGTGCAGTTGTTTGTCTGTCCTTCTTGTCTCTCTTACCACTGTTCCTGTCCTCCCTCCTCTCCCCATCTCTCTTCTGTGCTGTCAATGAGCCTTCTCCTGTTCTGTGTCAGTCTGTTTCTAACCTGCAGCTCCTCCGTCTCTTCTCTTCCCTGCTCCCATTAGGATCTGTTTCAGGTACTGTCTCTCTCTTTTTATACCTCTTTCTTCTTCCATTTCCCTCCCTCTCTCTGCATCCAGCACATCCACTCATCCAGCCTGTTCTGCCTGACCTGTCAGCTCTGTCTTTCTGTCTGTCAGTCTTCCTTGCTCGCATGTTTCTCCCACGAGGTGAAGTTTTGGGTTCTGATCCTGGCCCTTACTCAGATTAAATTCCCACTCACATACAGCATCGACCTGGGCCGCAGCCGGGTTCCTAAAGCCCTGGGTGTTTTCCCAGGTACAATGGGCAAGCAAGGGGCCATGAAGCACTCGTAGTAAACTGACTGTTTTCTTTATTTCCAGTCTGGTGCTGCTGGTCATTCTCAATATGATGCTGTTCTACAAACTCTGGATGTTGGAATATACTACGCAGACGCTCACGGCGTGGCAGGGCTTGCGGCTGCAGGAAAGGTACTGTCACACCTGCTTTGTCTTTGCCTCCTCTTTCACATTTCCTGTGTTTCATGTTAGAGGCTTTCC